TAGGGTAGAATATACCTAGTCTATCTATTATGTTATTCTGTTATTCTAGTTTTGTTATTTACGTTTCAGTTTTTTATATTGTTAAGTGTTATGATGTAAACACCAAGGGCAGATATGTCCTTTCATGTAACTAGCATAACATATAAATATTCTAGTGAACCGGCCGACCAAGCACATTGATGTGCGTTATCACTTTGTTCGTGATATTGTTGAGGATGGTCGTGTTTTGGTCAACAAAATAGCTTCCGCCTGTAGATATGTTGAAAAAGCCATTACCATCATCCAAGTTTGATGCTTGCATCAACTTGGTGGGTCTTGTCTCATTTGATGCTTGATGCCCTTAGGGCATTTGGAGAGGAAGATTTGTTGTTTGAATTCTCGCCAAGGTGGAGATTGTTGACGTTTGGTGTGGCTAAGGAATTCAACAGCCACAATAACTATTGTCTTTTGGTATGACTGCTGTGACTCAACAGTCACAATTACTCCACCAAAACTGCTGCATTTATTTTTACTCCTCCACTTCTGCCCCTCCATTTTTTTCGCCAAAATTTTAGGGACCGTGTTCCCTATTTTCTTCTATAAAAAGGGTGCCTCCTGGGGATAGTAGGTGCATGGAGAGAGAGCATTAGAAAGCTGAAGAGATTGGGAGAACTCCATCGCCATCTTCCAACAAGATCTGCTCCTATTCTATTTGGGATCGGTTTTTTCTTTCTTCACTGCTGCCATTAAGGGTTCTTTCACACCAGATCAAAGCAGTCATCTATGCTTTTGAGTGCTTCAAGGCTTTGTTAAAGGCATTTCGGCACTAGTAAGGTGGTCAGTTTGTAGTTCTCTCATCAAGGACATGAATAAACAAGTTTTCTTTCTTCTCCCGTGGATGTAGGTCTCTTTGACCGAACCACRTAAATCTGGTRCCATCTTTACCTTTCTTTTGCTCTTATTATTTGCTTTATAATTCACATATTTCTCAATTATTTCTTGTTTTCCATACTAATTAATCGGTAATTCAGAGTTTAAATCCTAACAGCAATCAACTTCTTTGGCTTGCTGGAATGGAAGTTGTGGGATTTGGGCCAACTAACATATCTATTGGGCTTGAAGTTGTTCAATACATCAAATTTGTTAAAATATGATTACTGGCCCAACATGATAGTCACTAAAAGGCCCATATAGATCTAGAGAGGAAGGAATTGGTTTGACTTCCCTTTTCTCAACTTCCGGTTCTGCATCGACGTTATCAAGGGTTAAAATTTTATCCAAACAATATTCAGTTGTTCTAGTAAGAGAGATAGTACTCCTTGATGTACATATGATAAAAGATTTTGGAACCTTTATTCCTTAAAAAACTGAGAAAATGAGGGACAATAAAATATAGTACTACTACTCGGTACTCACCATTATGTTCTGTTCTGAAAAATCTATTTGACAAGTTTGTCCCATGCTATCCACATGTGTTCCAAGAACCAAATATAACTGCATTAGAGTGCCTGCGCCATCTTTCTTGACAACTTTGATTTCTCCACCCATCTTATTAACCTGGATTGCCCATGTTCTCAAAAAGAAGATGAGACATATCAAGTATGAAGTCATAGTGAATGGTAAAGATGAATAGTTGTTTTGAGTAACGTGAATGATTGTTGACAACATGCTGCTTTGGTCAATTAATTGCATTTCAAACCAGAGAAATGGTGCATGCAACACATGCACAACCAAGTACTCAAACTTGTGATATTTCATAACAAAAATTTGATTCTAACAAATTGTAGGAGTAAAGGTTATGAGATACATCGTTTGGATGGTTCAGATAGCCAAAAAGGGGCCACTACATTGTATAATGGTAAGTCTCATGATGAAAAGAATGAGAACTTGGATTTGAGTCTGAGAGAATGGCCGTTTCGTGCAAAAGGAGGGAGAAATAGCCAAAGGTTACGTCCACATCCAGTCTACCCCTCTTAAGACCCCAGATAGCTGGGACAAACATTGGGTAATGGCCTTTCAGATAGCCAAACAAGGACATTATAATCCTATAAGGCGAGTGTGAGTCTCTACCGATTATGTTTTTCCCCCATCATGCATGGCAGATACTTGAGTAGTGAAAACATTTAAACTCACCAGGGTGCGTACTATGCATAGGCCAAGACCAGTTCCACCGTGCCTGAAAAAAGCACAAAAAAAAAATTTAAGAAAAATATGAAAGTTGTATTTTGTATGTTCCATTTGTAATAAAGAAATAGATAATATATGATAATACAACTATAAGTGTAATTACATGGCAGTAAATTGATTTGATCTTGACATGCAATTAAGATGCATATGCCTAACTTCATCACATGCCCAAAGAATCATAAAGACACAATGCTAACCCCATCTATGGAGCAGCCACCATGACCAGTTACCATAGGAACAATACTGTTTCAGTTGGACTATTAAGCATATCTAATGGGGATCATCCTGAACATTGTCCAATCCAAGAACCAGCCCACTAATTGGACAGTCTCTATGTATGTGCACCTTGTACTGAATTTGGTCTATGACATAATGTTCTGCATATGTGGTTTTAAGACTTATTAAACTGCTTACGTTCGAGTTGTCGAGGGATCAGCTTGTTCAAAGCTTTCAAATACAGACTCCCACTTGCTTGGATCAATTCCTACATAACAGAAAAATACTTTTGATCTATTTTGAAGCTGATGATATGGTCATTTAACAGATACCAAGTTATTATATTTGCTTTATATAGCTGTAAATCTCATACCGCAGCCAGTGTCATCGACTTCAAACCAGAGAACTATTTTGTTATCTTTCTTGAAGCCTCTCTTTGCATGGCTTCCATGTTGCCTCAATTTTGTTCCGAGTGCAAAACATGATTCCTTCTGATTGAGGGGCATCCTTGCAATGTTACTGAAAGAAATGGAATTCTCACACCACCCCCGCAGAATAATATGGCCCGCTGTAAGCAATGCAAAATTGTGAAAACTTCATTCTTTAATAAATTCTATCACAGTGCTTATTTTCACTTAACCTTGTTTAATGTTTATATTTCCTCCCTTTTGTGCATGTGTGTGTGTGTTTCTGTTTTGAAAATTGTAATTTTTATGTTACGGAGAACTTTCAGGAATGGTTCAGAAAGGCTTTAGCATATTACCAGATATGTACACACATTGTTCAAATCATACATGTGATTCAAATTTTATATACCAGAGGAAATATAATGAATATGAAAACTATGTATGGTTTCACTCGGTTGGTGAAGCGTAAACATGCTGGCTCCTCAGTTTTGTTTTGCAGTCACCACTCCAGTGACAGAAATGGAAGTTCCAACAGGAAGATGCTTACATTTTCTAGATAGGGTTGGAATTTTTAGGGACTTTTATGTTGGTTCACCAATTATTATGATGCAAATTGTCAGACTGTCATATTGAATAGATTGACAGACAATAACATTTCATACTTGCATTCTTACACATACTTTCAGTTAAATCTGGTGAAAAAAAAAATGAAAGATGGTTGCAAATAGGATTTCTCATGTGGACAGACTAGAGATAGAAGTTTTCAGTTGTTCTAGTCTTAAGGAGAAACAAAATGAGACATAGGCTTAAGATCATATCAATTGGCTGCATTAATCATCCTGTGAACAGAAAATATGAACCAAAAGTACTAAAATGGCAAATGGTTTAGTGATATGCATAAAATGGATGCACACTAATTGGTTACAAGATCTTAGGGGTTTCCAAGTTTGTATGACAATAACTGTTCATATCAACTTAATAGGATGCTGTGTTCCTCATGTAGGTTGTTAGGCAGAAAACTTTCCCTTGTATTCTAGCTTCCACTTATACCTGTATTAAGATTCACCACTAAACTTCTTGTTTATTTAACTCCTATTAGATAATGGTGACTTTCTATTAGCTCTATTGATCATTCATTTTTGAAACATTGTGGGCAGTTGCCAATTGATAGTGACAAAATTGCACTTACATGATGTAAACTTGATAGAATTACTAATGAGATTTGCAAATATTTGAACGACTCTAGCGGAATCTCCTTGGACAAATTTTGGCATATCATCTACAAAAGAACAAATGCAAGGAAAAAATTCATTAGAAAGAAATTCTTTGAACTAATAATCATAGATTTCTTTCCTGGATCCGATTCTTTTCCATTAGCTTTTAGAGTTGGGCCAGATGAGTTTTAAATGATGAAGAGGACAGCCATACCAGAGATATCTAGAACAGTCTCCACATTATGGTTAATACATTGCACAGAGAACATATCTACAAGACCTTCAAGTTCTCGCCCCAAGTCAAATTCAGCTTCCTCCAGTACTAGCTTCCCCGATTCAACCTATACAACATTATTATTTATGACAGTGAAAAATAGAAATTTGGTGATTATGAAAACATATCCAGAGAAAGGAAATTCATGTTACTGGACTGTCTCACTTATAATCTGATTAGTTGTTGTATGGTTGAGCTTGAGGTCTGAAATTCCTTTAAGTCTATGCCAGACATTTGGGCCACGCGCTGAATAAGCCACGTCATGGGGTTCTAACTTAAAAATCAAACTGTTGTTTGAATTCTTTATCCTAGGCTAAAACTTTGGTTGATTATGGAAGACTTGATGCCAAGATTTAGGGTGAGAGCTTTTCTAAGTGATCAGAAAATCCAAAATAGAGTTGAAAATTAAATCATTTGGGTCTTTATGATTTTAGGTAAAATTTGGCCCATTAGCAAAGCCTGATGAAAGGAACATACGGGGTCCTTTTGGGCCCCAAACCAAGCTGCCATATGGAAAGTTATTTGGTTGTTTACCCAGCTTCTCTAGACAATCTGACTAGCAGACCAAGGAATTTACTAGCTGGGTTGTCTAGCAAAGTTGGTTGGATGACCAAGGAATCTTCGACATGGCAAACTTTCCTATCAACATCTTATATTAATAGGACAAATATGAGCCTAGAAATCCTTGTAATGTGGTCAGAATAAACCCATCTTTTTTGGAAAGTTTAATCTTAAAAATTGAAACTCGCCCACTTCATCATTCCACATGGCAGAAGTATGGATGGTTGTGTAGGGAAGCTCCCTATATAATATCATTTCTGGTTGAAGAGGATCCAACAGACTGATGATGAGCAAATGGATTCCAGAGAGCTGAATTCTTCTGTGGTTGAACCAAATTCAGAGTCTTATGTCAGGATTTGCGTAACATTCATCGAATGTGTATCATATGGTTGATATTTCTTTGTATTGGCTACATTTATTATTGCAATTATGCTGTTTTTGACAAACATTAAAACAAATTACAAGCTAACCATATAAACGCAGAAAAAATACCCTTAAACCCAGTTGTGTAAAAGAAAATTGGCTAAATATGACTTACATCCATGCATATTTTTACCCATAAAATAACTGTTTTTCTTCGAAGAGCTCACCTTGCTAAGGTCTAAAATGTTATTGAGAAGTCGAAGTAGAGCATTTGAGCATTTACGGATCTGGGTAACTGTTGCGTATTGCTCATTTGTGAGACAATCATCACACATAAGAATGTCTAGCAACCCAATCACTGCAGCCATAGGTGTTCGCAACTCATGACTGTGATGCAAACGAAGAAGAAACTTATTTTCCTTATATAGGTATAATGATTGACTTGTTAGAAAGTCATAGGTTTTATATAGAAATAAAGGAAAAATGCTACAACTTGAATTAATTAAACATTTCCCATGAAAGAATTTGAGAGATATTTTAAAATTTATACACTGGCATTGGTTTCTTATTCTGTGATGCAATGTTTGAAATGTAGAGTTCTCAATGCAACAAAGCATTGTTTGATAAAACCACCTGGACTTCTCATTTACCATTTTTATATATTTTATCAATAATAGTAGAAATGTAAAGCTGAATTTGATCACCTCATGTTTGCCAAGAACTGGCTCTTATAATTGCTTGATGCTTCTGCCCTTCTTCTTGCATCGAGATGGCTTATGAGCTCTGCTCTTAGTTTCATTTCCTTTGATACTCCATTTGTCAGTATCAAAATGCAAAGACAGCCAATGAGTAGAATACAGACAGAAGCAGATATCAATATAACCAATGTCTTAAATGCTCTTTCATCCACCTTTCCCATTATATATCTCCTAGGAATTATGATAACCCCCACCTGCATGAAATTTTATCCGTTACAAGATCATATGCTACTAAGCATTTCAACAAAAACATTAAGTGAAACAAAGAGACTTGGAAGACTGACCGAATTTTTCTGATGTTTAGGCTGTGTTTGATTTGACAGAAAATAATAGAGAAACAGAAAGTTGAGGGAACCCCCAACTTTCCGTTTCTCTCTTCTTTCTATCAAACCAAACACAGGCTTAGTGTTTAGCAAAGATCACAAAGAAGAGTATAAGCAGTTAAGCAAATTAAGCATATTTCAAGCCAAGAAAAAAGAACTTTATCCACCACATATCCCACCTCAACAATAATACCAAGATCTCTCATGTTAATTTGGATGTAGAAAAGGCCAGAATGAGCCAATGAGTTATAATCTTACCATGGGAAGTCGTTTTAGCTTTAGGAAGAAGGAATCAATGTAATATTCTTGGTGGCCAAGCCTGGCGTTTTCAATATGAATCTCATGATTTTGGGTAAAATTTTCGCCATATACTCTCTGCAACCACTCAGCTCCTAGTCTTATAACATGATCTTCTGAATCAACAGCCATCATAAGCTTGGGTCCAGATGTTGAATTCCTCAAGAGCGGGGCATTTGTTGATGTAGCAAGTACATAGCCTTCCTGAGAAGTCAAATACATGTAACCACTATGTAGTTCCATTAGTTCTCTCATCAGCTGACCTACACTATAAAGTGCTGTAGTAACACCCACAACCGCCACTATAGTTTGATTAGAAGGGCCCCAGACTGGCAATGCTGCTGAAAGAAATGGTGAATCTGTAAATTTGCTCACTGCGACATGCCATGAAGCTGCTCCATCTTGTACTTCTGAAAAACCTGCTATATTGATTAGGTCATCCGGTGGGATTGGTCTGGCTTCCCCTGTCATCTCACCAGTAACTGGATTGAGTGGTTCTCGATACCAAATTGCAGACTTGTTGCCATTTAGGGATTGATCACTCCAGCCATGATTTGTTGATAGGGCATTAAGCTTGTGGGTCCCATTAACTGAAAAATTTGCAAGGTTAGAATAGATGTAGAATGTGTTGTTACTCCTATGATCATCTCTGTGAAAAGCCTGGACAAAGCCATTTCTATAACTTATAGTTATTGCATTGAGAGCTTTTCGGCTTGCAAAAAGTGCCCACGTTACATTTCGCATCACTTCATACAACTGCCAAGAATGAAATCCAGTTAATGTCATTGATGTAACACTGTAGAGATAAAAACGTTTCTAAATAATTTTGAAGCAACTGTTAAAAAGCATAATTAAATGATAAACATGGAACAGAATTGGGATTAACCTCATATTTTGGTTCTTGGGCTGTTGTGTTGCCATACTGCCTAATTACATACTCAGAGAGTTTAACCTGAGCCATGGTTATTTCCACAGTGGAGTTCAAAATGTTCCACATCCGTAATATGGGACGCTGCAGAAGTTCAAAACGTAGATCATATGCTAAGCTGTTTATTGATTTTGTTGTATAGACCCTTGTAAAATGCCATGTAAGTATGGTTAGCATCCCAATTAAAATTGCAAGCATGACCTGCAAAACAAACACAAATGAAAAAGGAGAAAATATGAGATGTTTAGAATTTGAAAAAAGGCATTGACCTTTTACTGATGTCATGACGTCTATGTTTTATCATTAGATATTTTTCTGCCTTTTAAGAAAACACAGACAGGGGGCTGGCAAGAACTTGTATCAGTTAACTGTAAAGCTTTATATTTTGTGCATGTGAGACAGTGTATCAACATGTATGTGTATTTTTATTAAAAACTTGATATGGGTGAGCACATCAACAAAGCTTCTATTAGATCCCGGTCAAAATTATATTATGCAGTAGGTAATTCTGCTCGATAACTGTAATTCATTTTGTTATTGGAGTTCGTTTGGTGGTATTTCTTGTTTTCATTTCAATTAGTTCTTCACCCTCTTCTGACAGAACTTTTGAGAATCAAAATGTAAGCAATCTTTCAAGTTCCACTTGAAGCCTAGATGTCTTTGTACTGGAGTGTTAGAACTTCTAATGGAGAATGTTATTAAGAGAAAGCATTAATACAAGTGGGATCTTGATATATGAAATGGTTGATGATATGACAATCTCAAGCAACTTTCCATGGGAAGTCTCCATGCCTATAAGTCAGCAACCACTAGCTGTAACTTGACGCATAGATGGCAGCAGCAGCAACAAACATCAAATAGTGCACAGTGTTAATGGAACGGGAATCCAACAGTGAAGCCAGTAACAATTGTTGGAAGAGATTCCATGTATCAACCATTGTTTGGTGCAATGGCACTTCTGTGCAAAAAAGGATGCTGAAAGCGAGTTTAGGTCCATATCCAGTCTACCCCTCCCAAGGCCTCAGAGAGCTGGGCCCATTAAAGTTGACAAATGGATATGGATGAAAAAGGGGTATTTTGGGATGATGAAGGTTGATTAAAAGACCAAGGATCGTCTTATCAATTTAATAGGATAATGACATGGAGGTTCATGGCCTGTTCCCCTTTCCTTTGAAGGCAACTTTTTTTTTTTGAGAAAAAAAGTTTAAACCTTTGAAGGCGATTTCTTTTAGAAATTTAAATCTTAAAATCAAAATAAGAGGGGGTTATCCTTTTTATTTTCAACAATCTTTCCCTTTTAGATTATTTTCCACTTCCATATTGTTTTCCTTGCATACCATTCCCTATGTACCATCTATGGAGTAGAAATTCTTGTTCAACCAAGTAGAAGCTCTTGAACCCTTCAATGCAAAAACTACAGGAAAGCATACAATGATACAAGTATACAAAAGCTTCACTTGATACAGAAAATAAGGAAACTACAAAACAAATTATGTTGTTCTGCCAGCATCCTCCTTTTGAGGATCTCAACCTCCCCTGTTATCTTATATTTTGATAACAATTTTTTTTTATTGGGTAAAATTTTTAGAATCACACCCTAATAGCTACTAGATGAAAATTACTTAAATTTAAAGCATGGAATTTACTATAAATGGTAAGCTTGAGATATTATAATATAGTCAATATTTTTCTTTTCTTTTCATTTTTTTGGACAAGCAAATAACACACTACATTAACCAGACAGACCGAAGGAACATTAGTACATTACAGTATTACACCATAGGGCCTCAGCCAAAAAGAACTTAGCTTGTTGACAGACTTTTTCTTGGAAGGTGGCAGAATGACATATTGAAGGATGGAACAATTTTTTTACTCTTGAAAGCTGAATGATATAACATGCCACAATAACAACCAATGTATCACTTCACTTGGTAGCTAGTTGTACAGGTCATGCTAGAGCAAAATGATTGTATCCACCAATGTCTCTTTTGAACTTTTCTGGGAAAACTGAACCAATGGACCATTTAATTTCAAGTTCGTTCATTTATCTTTTAATTTTCTCCTGTTAATTTTGATTTGGAGTGCAGATCATTGCTCCTCTCCATATGGTCTCCTCGATTCCTCTTCTTAACCTGTTCAACCCACGAATATACCAATCCCAATCTGGATATTTACCAGGAAAAAGGACTCGTGCTTCTGGGTTCACAAGAGGTGATGGAGGCCCATCTCATCCCTAGGGGCGGCAGCTCCTAGGATAATGATAAGTTAACTAAGATCCAAGAATACAAGATAAGCAAGGGATCCAAGAATCCAAGATTAGCAAGACTCTTCCAAAATTAGCAAGATAATGCAAGACTCTTCCAAGATAGAGCAAGACTCTTCCAAGATTATCAAGAAAAACTCCAAGAAGCATCAAGATTAGCAAGATAATCCAAGATCCATGCATCTAGGGAGATCGGACGGTGGAACTCAAACCAAGGAAAGTTCGATCCTATCAAATTAGATATTTAGATCTATCCTAGTTATTATTTCCTAGTTCTTTTACAATTTCCAAATGTATTATAAATACTGCTATTTTCCCAAAGTTATGAATCAATTCATACCTCACATTTTCAGATTTTCTTGAGTTCTCTTCTTTGAGTTTCGCCACCTTTTCTCTCTCCTAGAGAAATCGGTGTTATTCGCTAAGTGCTAGCGAACGCCCGGTGCTTGCATAGCCAGCTCCGGTTCTCATTGCTTCCACGCTGCGTTAAGAGGACTCCAATACACATATTTTCATGTATATCATAAAATGCAACAGGGTGCATATTATGAGCAAATTAAATGGTGTAGAAAATCCCAATATTATTTGAGCATGCTTATTATATAATGAACAAAACCGATTAAAAAAATCCTGAACTGTATAGCTAGATATTTTATGAAATCAACTTGAGCATACACTTCGGCTGAACTGAATCTGATTAATATAAGCACCATAACTTATCAGAAAACGAAGGAAAGGCTCTAGAACTATATGTTGATTGAGTTATTGTCCTCATTCTACCATTGTTCTACATATCAGAAAGTCTACTTGAGTCAAGTAAACAACTTTGACATACCATAATGGCCAGACGGACGACAAAAACACTGTAGTAGGATGACAGGCAATGGGCGTTTGCATATCGAAGTTCATCTTCTTCAACCTCCCCTTGAAGAATTCTTCGTCGACGTGGGACGCTGTTCTCATTCTCCATGGAGTTGAAACCACAGAACCTGTTGAAGACCCTTCTCAGCTGAAGGCCCACCGGAAGACTCGGAAATGGTGGGGATTCAAAGCTTACCGATAGAGTTCTTTCCACCTTGTCCGCCATGGATTCTTCTGAGAAACATTAAGACAGGCTTACGAGAAGGAAGAGTTTTAAGGAAAGAGAGGGAGAGTGATGCTTCCTGAGATGGTTTTATATTTTATTGCCATGTCATTTCCCACTTCTAGGACGCACATTCGCTCGCAATTTTGAAAAGCAGTTCCTCATCAACACCGACCTCGTCCATGTCTCCCTCCTTTTTTTTTCGACCGTCGTCCTTTGAAATTTGACCGCTGGGTTGGCTCGGGGAAAAGGGGAATTAAAACACAGGGAAGAAGAGGTGAAATGACTAACTGACAAGATGCTCATTCTGTGAAGTGACCCAAAGGAGTAGCGTAGGATGGGAATAGACCCAATTTTTAAGTCACGTCACGTGGCGAAGATTTGTTCTTGCATTGCACATTTGCATGTTGAAGGTTCCCCTGCCTCAGCCTCGACTTAAACATGACGCAGAGTAGGGCTAATTGTAACATGTGTCGCTGGAATAGGGATGTCAATGGACTGGTTTTGGGTTCGACCCGTCTAAAATCAAAATTAATTGGAGAGATTGGACGGACCAATAATACATATTGAATTGGACCAGTAAGTATTTATTGCCTTATTGGATTTGAATGGACCTAATCCACACATAATGGATTTATGGTGGAATGGGTTGGATTGAACCAATATCTGGTCTATTGATAAAAGATAAGAATAGTGGTATCAGTAGACCAGATTTGGGTTGGAAACCGATCTAAATTAAAATTAATTTGAACAGACTAGACGATTTACACATTGAATTGGATCGATCCAAAATGGTCAAAAATATTCATAGGATTGGAATTGGAGTTAGTCTATCTGTAATAGATTAATATTTGACACCCCTAGTCGTATGGATGGTTTAAGCACCTTATTCCCCCACTTAGCTACTAGCTAGGGCTATCAATGGAGCGAGAAAACCTGACAGAACCAAACGATCCAATTATAGATGGTCTGAGTCTGCATTTTGTACCCAAATATGAATACATTATTGGGTCAGTTCTAAATTTTGATATTTTGTCTCAATTATAGTCCTGGTTAATAAATAATTGGGTCAGTTACCCCCTTATAACTAGTTCTGCTCTGTACAGGGGTGGACTACCCTAGCCCGGAACAGGGCAGACCCATTAACAGCACTGCACTTGGCTAGGGTAGAGGGGGAGGAGGATAACTTTCATTTATAAATTCGAGGCTAGTTTAGTAATTTGAGCAAATGACTTTGTTATGGCTTTATTGGGGGTTGGTTCAAGAGCCAATGAACAAATACAAGCATGAAATCATGAAGATAAGAACCTCTTTCACCCAATCTTTGACGTTAAGGAAATGGGTTGGCCAATCTCTGCGAGATATAATGCTAATGGTGACTTAATTCAATAATAAAATCACAAAACTATGAGCGTGCCACAAACTTTCTTGACTTTTATTTCATCCTCTAGAACCCAGTTTGTGTGGCTCCATCTCACTGATCCTCTCTCTGAGAGAGGTAGAGAGAGAATTTGAAACCGATCCTCTGGTTTTAAGCCAAACAGATTTGATCATGCAAATTGCACAACTTCTGAAACTGGGATTTGTGTTTCAGATGGGAACTTAAATTAAACCAGGTTGGGTTGATGGCCATTGGACCCAAACTGGGAAAACCAGCTGGCCGGTCCAAATGCCATCGACCATCCCCATCCCAACAGCTCTTGGTGGGGAATGGGGACCTCCCTTTCCCATTCTGACTTCTGACATTTACTGAAAAGGAGGATAATCACTACTACTCCCTAAGCTACCAACTTCATAAATTATGCTACGATTCGATGTGGACAATTAGGTATCATATCTTAATATTATTGTGAGAAAAAGACTTCCAACAACAATAAACAAAGTCGTCCAAATTCAAAGTGGCATCAGCTTAGCATGAACGATGCCAATGAACATTGAGCATTGGAAGCCAGTGGCGCTTGTTGCAAAAAGAACCATTACAAAATTCTACGTGCTTACAATTACATCCATTCTCCTAATAAACAAGTCAGAAGATAGAGAGGTGTGGAGCAAATTAAGTGAGCAACACTATATTATCAAATTTCTTAGGTCATCCACGTCTTCAATCTCCACTATAGGGCCAGAAAACAATAATAATAATAATAATAATTAAATTAAATTAATTGGTGTAGCCAGCCATGAGCCATGTATTCTGTGGAATATTGAATTTGTTTTAGAAACCACTAGGTTGGATGGAATATCTATATGCTCGTTATTAGTAATGCCATTTTATTCTCAACTCTTAAAAGATAATAAAGATTTCAATCCAACAATTCGATTCTTGTTTGCAGTTTATGTCTATATCCAGGCCCGTTGCAGATCTTGTGTGAAGATACGACTGAAAATTTCAGCCGATCAAATCATAATAAATCAAAATTCTCTCTGGCTTCATTGTGGGTCGGTTGGATAACTTTTTTTATTTCTTTTATTCTTTGGGTTTTTATTGTTTAGTCCAATTCAGAAATCTTAGCCCCACATGGTGGAGTGCAGTCTATTTATCCCTTTATCTTTTTTGCTGTATTGGGGTTTTGGAAAATTAAAAGATAGCACATTTGATATATGAGAGAGGATAAGCCTCTAGTTAGATTATTAGCCACGTGTGTATCGTATAGTTTATCTACTTGCAAACCTTATCTCTAAACTAACTGCTCAAAGTTCCAATTTTTTGTTCATAAAATTAACAAATTTTAATTACAAAAGATTTTTTTTTTTTTTTGAGAGCTGAGAGAATGTTGGAAAACATAATTAGTCCTTTGAAAAGATTCTTAGACCAAATATATACCCCAAGGCCCAAGATGGAAAGGCGCTTTGAAGCCAAGTTCTTAGTATTACTTTTTTGTTGGTTTTGCCACGAGTAAGGTTTGGAAAAAGTTGTCATTTGATCTGATTACTGGTCATACAAGTGCTGAAAGATTACCTTGAATCTGTTCCTTGGTCTTGTTTTAGGGTCTATTCATTTGCACTAAGTATGAGATCTAAATGCTTTTGAAATTGTAATAATTTTTTGGGTAAATTGAAGATAGGTATCTTGTACTTTGGGGCTACTGATAAATAGGTACCTTAAATTTTCAATTGCAATACTTGAGTACCTTGAACTCTTAAAATAGACATTTGGGTCTATCCATTAGTATTCTGTCAATTAAATATTACATGATGTAAAAAATACCCTTCTCATGTATTTTTTAGATCATTCTATGAAGTAAAATCATATCATCATTAGAGAATGTCGTCGCTGAAAATTTTGAATGTTATTTGTGGTCCATGTGAGAATGTCACCATGGGGAGACATTCAATTACCTGAGAATGATCTCAGAAATACACAATAAAGGTATTTTTGGCATTATGTAATATTTAACTGACGGAATACTAACGGATGGATGTATGTGTTTATTTTTAAAAGTTCAGGATACTCAAGTATTACAATTGAAAATTTATGATACCTATCTGTCACTATCCCTAAAGTACAAGGCAATGTTTTAAAAAAATGACCCAAAAATGGAACCATTATGGCCATCGGTTTCTGATTTGACGGTCTGATCGTCCGATTCGAATGGACGGCCCGTTCTAACAACAAAATTAAAAATAATTAAAAAATAAAAACGGTCAAAACCGTTGAACGGGTCAATGGATCAACGGTTCGACTACCCAGGACAACGGTTTATTGACTTTTTCAACGGTTTTTTATCAGATTCCGAGTTTAGGGTAAAATGGAACCGGTTGCCTGGACGGTTCCCAAGCCGAATGGTCCAACCATCCGGATCAACGGCAATTAAAAAACGTTGGTACATGGTACCTATTTGTAATTTACCCTAATTTTTTAGATAGGAATATCATGTTTGTAGACAGGGTAATATAGCAGCTCACGCATTCGCTCAATAGATGAAGACTCTTCAATGGTTGATATATATCTTTAACAATAATTGTATTTCTGCCCAAAAAAACACCACGTACTTGTGTTTTAGCTTAAAAATGAAATCAGGACATGCTATAAATTGAGGGCCTGTTTGGCAATTATTTTTGAGAAGATCTTCTTGTAGTTTTGACAGTCAAAAGACGTATTGAGCTTTTGACATAAAATTTGGGCAGCCCGAAGATCATTTGGTAGATGCACGTCTTTCCCTGTGTCGTTTTGGGTCTTTCTGTACGAGATAAAACGCAAAAGACGCAGGAAGCTTCGTTTGGAGTTTCCCAAAATCAGTCCAAAATGGGCTTCACGTGTCTTTTCAGCGGCCCATATTTTGGCGGCTAAATCTTCCACGTGCCAAACGAAAATATACCAATTTTTAATCTTCCCAACTTGTAAACAGCCAAAAATCCACACGAAAAGACGCACCAAATGGGCCGTGAAAAAAAAATACCATCAGTCGATTTCGAGGTTGCATCTCTTAAATATAAAACTTTCTTATGGATAGTAAAAATTAGGGGTGGCCATGAGCCGAGCTCTTCACAAGCTACTCGAGCTCAGCTTGTGAAAAGCTTGGCTCAGCTCAGTTTCAACTGAGCTTCGAGCCGAGCTCGAGCCCAATTTATAGGCTCGTTTATAACTAATTATTTTTATTTTTATAAAACATTTTTCTCAAGTCGAGCTTGAGTCAAGCCAAGCTCGAACTTACAAGCCTTTGACTCGAGTCGAACTCGAGCTCTCGTACTACCTTGACGAGCCGAGCTCAAACAGCTAGCTATTCGGCTCGGGTCGGCTCAAATCCACCCCTAGTAAAAATACAAAGCACATATGGAGAGATAAAGTGGGTGTTTGACATCTAAGCATTTTATTTCACATATGGGTCCCGATTCACTAGTGTTACATTTTACCTTTTTTTTTTGAAAAATACAAAAAAAAAAATCGAGATACATGCTAATTGGGCGTTTAAAGTGATTTGGCTTATTATTATAATATATTGTATGGCATCTTAGAAAGAAGTCAGCTTTTTTAAATTTTAATGTGTCACATCACCTTGGCGATTCAAAATCACCAAGGAGATTCAAGAAATGTCAATCTGATGTTTGAAGCAAGGTTCAAAATATCGACACATATCGGCTGATACATATCGTTCCGGGACCCCTCCGATACACCCCTATAGTGGGTGTATCGAGGGTCTGACCGGTTCAAGGGGTGGAGGAGACCTAAACCCGCCCCCTGAACAGATTTCAAAAAAAAAAAAAAACAGTATCGATTCACCCAATACGCCCATACCAACATATCGATATTTTGAATCTTGATTTGAAGAAACCCCTCCTTTCCCATTACAAAAAA